TTTAACCATGAGTTGTGAAATTAGACCTTACAGTTAATTCTTAACTAAGGTTCAACCACAGACTTCCATAATAGACTGTCGATTTCGCTTCCATGTTTGAAAACAGCGCTAGGCAACGCCATATATGTGTTCATTCACTCTCACATGTATAAATCATACGGATAATAAGTATTTTCATATAAATTTACATGATACTCACAGACATGATGCACACATACGCATATATGAATTGAACAAAGACAAATCGAAAACAAGGATAGATCGGATCAGATTAATCTCTTTCTATCATTTATTGAATCAGTAGTTTAGAATCAGTAGTTATAGAAGTCTGTGGGTTCAATTTATTTTTCCTATCTTTTCAATTCTAAAATTGGAAAGAGATGACGAATACATTGAACTTCGGTTAAGAGCACTCATGAGTTATGGAATTGGACCTTAATAGATTAGTTTTGTTAGGTGCAGCGCTTATACCGGAATTACCTTACCAAAATCTAATATCGGTATTCTGGCGCTCATTAACTTAACTTTCTTGTTTTTCAATTCCTTACCCACAATTGTGCACGATTTGCAGTATTAATGGACGATTTGAGCTTACAATTAAACCGGTTATCTAATTCTTCGATAATCAATACGCCGTTAATTGTCGGTTTGATTTATAATTAAGCTTGTAACCAGATAATAAATGCCAAAATACATCGATCGTGTCCAATTCAGGATGTGGTAAACAATACGATGCTCGAACTGTGTATGTTCATAAATTTAATTATATCTTTCGGATTTTTTGTTTTGAAAAGCGTTTTTTTTAGCACATATATCTTCCATTTAGAGAATAAATGTGTTATATACAAATGTTATTATAATTGCAATACTTTTATCACAAGTATGTGTACAATTGTGTACTCACAATTGTGTATGTTTTAATGTTGCTACTATATAGGTATCTGATACATACTGTTAAAATATAATAAATTATGAATAGTTATATAATTTAGTTAAAAAAAAATGTCTAAATGGTAATCACATTTATTACATTACTTTTAAAAATATGTTATTCTAAAGGAATTGTTGATATTATTTTTATAAATAATTTTACAAATTAGTTTCTTTCTTCAATTTTTTTTGCTAGTTCATTCAAATTCTTTTATTTTTTATTTGAATTTATATTAAAAAAATTGGTATATATTAAAAAATATATATTATACGTATCTATGTCCAAAGAATAAAGAGTAGCTTTATGTAATTATGTTGTAATTATGTAATTATGTTATAAAGAGAAGCCATTTTATGAATAAATTATAATTAATTATAATTTCTCATATATTAAAACAACATGCACTTTGAAATTAGCAGAGCAATATAGCGGGAAACTGATTAAAACTACAAAATTTCATAATTTTAAAATTCTTTTTTCTAATATTTTGATAAAATGTAACATATAATATATTGCTCTTTATGCTTTCAAAAATTATTTGTCACTGGTTATATGTTAATAATACAGTACAGACTTTCGAGCAAAAATGTCGACTACGAATATATTCACATATTTAAAAACTGTTTATATTCACCTTGTTTATAGATAGACATTATATCAAAAATATCAAATAATAAAAAGGTTTTACAAAAACTAAAAATTACAATACAAAATAAAATTACAATACAATCCCAATTTTTTAATAATAAAGCTTACAAATAAAAAATTATCTTTAATATTTTAGTAGAATAGATATCGCTTGTTTACAATTCCGATTATATACAAAACGATTTGTTAATCACTAATGACTAATTTTTAAAAAGATTTGATGTATATAATTTGTCCATTCAAAAAATGAAACTTGAAGATTGAGATTGCATAAAATTATATCAATCAGAATAAGTATTTACTTTTATCTTATCGTTCTGGTTAATCAAATTATGCAATCTTAATAATATGGTGACTTTTATGGAGACATGTTGATTTTTTATCTGTATAATTATGATTTGACTGAATAGGATTTTAAAAAAGAGAGTTTTAAAAATTAAAAATATTCATGAAAATAGAGAATGAATAGTTAAAAATCTAATCAATATTTAATTCATAATTTTTTATTCGATATTTTTATATCAAATTGCAAAAAATATTGAATATTCGATATTATTGAATAGCAATAAACATCTCTAATACAATATAATGTCATATAAAGTATATGTAGTTAACAAATATGTGTACTTAAATCTCTGAGTGAAATATTATGACAAAACTTCTATATAATTAACGAAATAACAAGTGAATGAATAACAAGCAAATAATTGTAATTTATTCAGTCACACCTATTAGCATACAGAATAATGTCTGCCTAAACTTTTAGCTTATCTTATAATTAGTAAGCGGATTAATAGCACATTAATTTTCAATATTTGCTCGCGCATTCACGCGTGGAATCAATACATTAATTATCACCTGAAAATCAGACGGCTGATGTTAACTAGTACTGGCTTTGGTTCTAAATGAAATTTGTGGTGAAAGGAAACGTCCGATATCTGCATAGATATCCAATTAATTTTTCCATTTCTGGCATTTTGATGAATGAACAGATTCTTTCAAATTTTAATTACGATCGACGCAAATCAATGTACATTCAAAACAGCTTTCCTTCATCTAGCATGTAAGAGATTTACAATTAATTATTCACAGTACAAAGGATCGAGCAGGACCGAGCTTATTACGGAAGAGCATGATCCGTATGAATTCATGGAAGATCTATTCGGCACCGACATAGTGTAACGCATCAACGATTCACCGTCAATGCGAACGGAATTGACGCGCGCGATCGATCAACGTCCAATTCGCGGACCAACGGCTTCGTTCGTTTACGTGGTACAAATAAAATTCTCGGAAACGTAGCGGGATGTGCCCGTACGCTTGATTGTTGGAAATATTGCGGGCAAGAGCAAATAAAACGTCGCAAACTCGAAACGTACGAGTTTCAAATGCAGTCTTTGATTCCGTAGAGAGCTCTCACGTAACGGTGTAAAATGGGAATGTCGATGAGTATTCGAAGAGGAAATTATATTTCGAATTTCAAGCTTAATTATACGTATAGTTTAACATATAGATGTGCAGTATCAAGGAATTCACAATCTATTTCTATATTTTACACTATGTCCTAGCATTTAATGTGCATTTTTTTTAAGTAAAAATATACAGGATGCTGCTGATCAATAAGTCGGCTTGCTTATTTGCCTATGAGCAGGGACACGCTTTATTGTAATGCGAAATAAGATTAGATCACAAGTCCGGCGAGGAATAAACAAAAGAAATTAAATTTTACATAAAGCAGATAGGTAACCTAACTTACTGATCTTGTAGGTATCGACAGTACTCTGCATATAAAATTATATAAATAATGTGTGTAAAAATTACACAGTTTATAACAAAAATATATAAAATTGTATATTTTTAGAGAATTATAGTACTTTTATCTTAAATTTCAAAAAGATATATATTAGAAAAAGTACAATAACAAATTTTATAATTTCTATTTATTTGTAAGATGTGACTTTACGTGTGTATAAATATATATAAATATTACGTGTGTATATATATTTAATAGCAGATTCTAAAATTATCCATTAGAATTGTAATTATATAATTCTTTTTATAGTGTATATATTATATTATATTCTTTCATCTTAAAGACTTCATTGCATTGATCTGCAAAATATTTTTATATGTGCTACTTTCTCAAATTTCTTCCATATGCTGAGAATTTATCTCTAAAGAATATTTTATATAGTTATGTATAGTTTATAGATACATAGTTATACAATATTTAATATATGTATATTTTATAATTATATACATAAAATAATTATCAAGTTTTTTCTTTTCTTGTCACAAATGTACTCGATAGACAGGCAGTAAGACAAACACTTCGTAATTTGCAAATAAATGAATTTGCAAAAAACAAATTTTATGTGTTATTTTTATCCACTTTATTTTCTTTTCTTGCAGAACTTGTCTTCTCATTCGCGCGCTCGTAAATGCTGAGGATCCAAGCTGAGATGCACTGCGTATCAAGAATCTATTACACGTCGAAGTTATACATCATTTTGCAAATGCATACAGACGACTCGTGAGTCGTGAGCGAACTTTCGAGTGCGTCATTAGACGCGCTCAAACGTTCGCAACTGTGCATATTCTCAACGATCTCAATGATGAAGAAGCTGTGCTTAAAAAAGCTGGTCGGCCATCATCAAGGCGGACTCTTGAAAATTCGCGACCGACAGGGATGAAAAGTACGTTAGGATATTTAATTATCAACTTTGCCTTTGTTTCCTCTTTTTAAGACTTATCATGTCTGTCAAATTTTATTGACAGAAAAAATAATCGGATTTAAAATAATAGTTTACATAATTTCTTTTTATTATACGAAAAGAATAGACAGTATTTTTAAGAAACATTATTAATCTAGAATCTTATTATGATGTTTTATATTATTATATTGAATAGTATCGTATCTTGTAATTGACAATTTAGTTTTTAATACAATTTTGCTACATTAATTTGATTATAAAATAATTAAATTAATACATAACAAAATTACATTAAGAATTCATAATTAAACAAATATATTATAAAATTTCTTTCAAAAAATTTATTACACTGTAAATTATATGTCAAAATATAATCAAATTTTATTTAAAAAATTATTTTTAAATGTATGAAATACGTGAACAATAATTTAATCCTTAGAAGTCATTTAATATCTTTACTGAAATTGTATTAAAGAAATTGTATTATTTTATATCTATAATTAAACAAGATTATAAGATTCATTATTATGTAAGACTCCTTTCGAAATTTATCGTACATAATTATATGATAAAGACATATAATAAGATTTCATTTAAAAAAAGATTATTTTCAGTAACGTACAAAATACGCGTGCCTCGAACGGGACACGGGTGTCTCGTATGGGGATTCGACACCGTAATCGCGTGGGGAAATAAACGACCAAACGATGATGATGGAACACAAACAAACGATACTGCTGGCACCCTCACTCAGCAACAGCAGTTGTTGGCGAAGCGGCACATCCGATGCCGCTTGGACAGGTCCGGGCCCTGGAGAGTTGATACGAGCTGCTCTGATATTGCTACTCAGTCTTGGTATCCTATGCGCCAATCTACTGGTGATATGTGTTATCAATAGCAGACAGTACAGCAAATATATACATGCTCAGGTAAGTACATTTTTAAGATATGTAATTTAATTTACGCAACTTTTTAAAAACAAACTAAAGTTCATTGCTTTATTGACAAAATTTCTATCTTGTTAAATATGAATTTTAATAGTCAATCCTTTTGTTTTTATTGTAAAATAATAATAAATAATTACGAAATCTATAAAAATCTCAAACTGTCAGAATGTTAGAAAGAACAATACAGATTTTCCTAAAAATTTCGCTTGTTATTTGAAAGATGGAAAGATGAATATGATTAATGCTCTCAATGAGAAATTCTTTATATATAAACATCTAAATATAGCTAACAAAAAAAAGTTAAAATATTTATACAATGTAATGAAATTAATATTATATATTTGTTTTTTATCTTCTAAAAGGATTACGATAAAATATTAGTTACGTGAATGTACGAAGGTTTCAGTCGGTGCCATAACTCACAGTCTGTGATGGAAGGGTTCGCGGTATTTTCTCCATTTCTCTCTTCCTCCTATGTAAATCAGTCTGAAGTGGTTAGCTGCTCGAAATACAGGACAGTCATGTTTCTGGGTTCTAAATGAGTCGAGTTTCGTAGAGACTGATGATGCCCGCAAAAAATTGTACATTTGTAAATGTTTTATTCCTTATTTTTTGATTAATTACATTTTTTACCATTATACGTTTGTAATATACTGAGAATATTTTTATCAAAACGCAATATATGTACATGCAATAAAATATTCCTTAATATTAATCGATTTTTATTGCATAAATATGTAAATTTTTCTGGAGAAAAGATACAGATTATAGATAGATAAATTATATAACTGTGGGTATGTAAAATATATTCTTATTTCGATGCTGTGAAACCTACATTAGTTTAAATCCTTTTCGAGAAACCATTATTCTAACAATCGTTTATCTCGATTTGTTATCGGGATTTATACAATCTTCTACACTGTAGATATTATCACTAATGAAGTTTAACTTTTCTGTACTGCTTTTTCTGACTCCTTTTCAATTTTCTTTTTCTACCTAGTGACTTCGCACTTTCAGATCTAATTTATGTATATGTAAAAGTTACGTAACCTACTAAATATGTATACGAAAGTAACTTCAATTTTCTATGCAATTATTAGCGAGAGTAGAAAGTAATAATGCAAAATTGAAGGATAAAACTACATAAAACTTCAATAATTGAAAACACATTATATTTTTTACTTTGTCTTGAAAATTAAACTCTTTTTTAATGTTGCATATATAGATTTCTATAAACATTTTAATTTAGTAAATAAATTTAATCTAAATTTAGTAAACAGTCAGTTGAATTAACTAATCTAAACATTCTAAATTGATGCTTATATAAAAATGGACCACAATTAGTGAAAAGAAATTTCCTTTAAGTCAATCGATATTTTCTCTCGCTACATATCTCATGACGGAACTAATGTCGCGTGCATGTTACACAACAATTCGATAATGACGTCCCTTGACACTGACCAAGACGATCAACAGGTTCTCTTCAATTTTCTTCCAGCCCAGATATTTGCTGACGAGCTTAGCAAGTAATGATCTAGCGATTGGTCTTTTAGTGACGCCTTTCGGTTTCTTACCAGCTGTTTACGGATGTTGGCCGTACGGTGAAGTTGTCTGTCAAATTCAGGTAACTTGTACAATATTAACTATTTTTTAAATAGTTTTATATTTATCTTTGAATACATAGATTTGTTTGTTGTCCTATTATAATTAATGCATACTACTACATAAATATAAAATTGATACATATATAATATGTAACTTGATAATATATTTTATATTGATAGTATTTTTTTTATTGTGCTATAATAAATGTTAACTTGAATATAAACGTTGGAAATTACGACATCACCTATAACGTTGAGTGTTAAAGAGCCGTTCAATAACCTCAAACCTCGACAGCATTTCTTTGCCAGAAATCGAGGAATTTATAGGAAATCTCGAAATGGTATTCGCGATGCTTGGCAGGAAATTATTATCGTTTGAAACTCGTGGCTGCGCTTCCGGCAGCCGGTACTTCTTCCGCCATTTCCTCTACCAGTCGGCGACTGCGACGTTATCGGAGTTCCTGGCGATAATCTTTACGCATTGCTCCTTTCCCTCCGATCCCTTCCTCGTTCTCTATGCCATCTTCTGAGGTAACGGTCTGATTTGTGACTGTATATTTCTTGATTTCGCACGTGCTAAACTCCGGAATGTACCGTTTCGTTGGTAGATCTCGAATTTCATGGGTATTGGCTTATCTAGCCGTAACGGAAATTGCCGTAATACCTGCGAAATTAGTAAATATAAGTTATACATATATTATATATATTAAATACAACTTTACTCGCTTTGTTATCAACTTTAATTTATAACAAGTATTATCGCGTAGCATAATTTAATGTTCGTTAAAAAATTTATTTTTTTTTTAATAATAAAGAAAAATTCAGCATATTGTAGTATACCTGTGTACTTCTGCTCTCTGATTATTTAATATAACGATACGGTTAATTAACTTATATAATATAATAAACTATAATATAAACTATAAAAATTCTATAGTCTCTAATGAATTAAATCAATAAGGAATAAAACACAGGAATATAACACTTTTGAGAGCTGAATAATATTGCAATTATTGTTTTATTGTATATATAACAATTGAAGACGTTTCGATCTTTTTAATGTGGATCCTCTTTAGTAAATACAACATTAATGATAAGACTAAAATATATACAATAATTACATTAGTTAAATACAAAATTGAATACATAATATAGTGACAACGTAGAACATATTTCTGTACGCTTGTGAATAAAAAATATTGAGAGAAAATTAATTTTAGTAACTTCAAATCATAAAATTTAATAAAAATTTGACAAGAAAATCATAGAAAAAGAGAAAGGAATTTTCTCGTTAAGTAGAAAGATATAATAAAGATTTATTCTGTTATAGTTTCATTTATATTAATTTCTTTTTAAAACCAAATGCTGGATGTTAATTAATATTTGTGATGTTTAATCACAAATGAATTTTTATTAGTTTGTTTCTTTATTTGATTATTCCTATCAATAATATAAACAATAGAAAAATAGTAAATTTGTGATAGTATTGGCCGAGACATTAAATATATCGTTTT